CCATTCTTTTTGGCTGATGCAGAGGGCTTCCCAAGGCTTGGTAGAAGCGTCCTCCGGTTTCTCAAGGATCTTAGCATTCTTGGGAAGGTGTATGACAGTTCCCTTACCCGAACCACGGTTAGGCCCCTTATTTGAAGCAGTCTTTCTTAATGCATTAAGTTTTTCGTCATCATTTCGGTCACACTCAATGGCTGATGTGGAACAGCCCATATCGGAGTCCGGCTCTAGATCGTCATCTAGAGACAGATCATCCGCATAGGACTGATCGTCAGCCTCCCGATGATCATGCAGTGCAAGCTGGTTGCTGCTTCCAAACCGCTTGCGTTGTGGTTTCCCACCTGCAGCGGGTGCCTTCTTGCGCTTGGCGAGGTCCTTGGCCTCTAGGTTGACTAGATCCTTCATGAGCTCTCGCCAGGTAGCATGGTCTTTGAGTGCTTGCAGGGAGAGGTATTCCTTAGGGGCCACTCCTATGACTACATCCCTGCAAGACACGCCAGTCATCCCCAGATCCGGAGTGGTGAATAGACCTGTCAAGTGCTGTTCTAAAGCTTGCATGGATGACCTCTATGTTTGGCCTTTGAGGGCCTCAAGCTTCAGCCTAGCCTTGAGCGCAGCGTGTTTATCATGATACCGGTCAAGGAGAAAATCTTCAAGAGCGCGGACAGGGGTAACCTTCAGCCATTCAGTCAGGTCTATGCGCTCATAGCCTGCAGCAACAGCTTGGAGCTCAATGTGGTTGCGTACGGCGGGCTCGGTATTAGTCCCCATGTTCATACTTCGGTCCTCTTGCGGTGTCCGCATGACCTCGAAGTATGACCTCATGGAACTAATCCAAGAGGTGATGTCAGCCTTCCCGTCGTACTTGGACGGCAGCGTGGCCGCCCGCTTGTCCACCATGGGACCGCTGTACTGAACGCCAGTAAGAACTGCGGCGTTTTGGGCTGAAGTCCTTGCATTTGGGACTGTGACCAGTGCAAAACTGTCGGTGCTGCCGCTCGAGGAGCTGGCACCGGTTCCTGCACTTGCCACAGTTCCGCTGGCCCTTGGAACGAGGGCTGTGCTGGACTGAGAGACTGGGATTACAGCAGATCGAGAATTAAGAGGGCGAGAGGCAGACAGTTGGGACTGTTCAAGGCTATTTACTTTAGCCTGCAACTCTTGGTTCCGCTGCTCAAGTGCTGTCACACGGGACTCGAGATCTTCCAAGTTCCGCAGCCGGACCAAGGCTGCGACGGCAGCAGCTAGCCTCTCCTAGAACCGGTCAGCATCGGCTTCCGGAACCCTCCTGCGCAGCTATACTCGTAGCTCTAGTTGCTGCCTCCGCCTCCCTTTCCCTCTGTACGGCATCATCATACAGTTTTTGAAAGAACGGTTTCTGACTCTCGT